TGCAGTACAAGCCTGAATCTGCCTCTGCGAGCCTGTGCCTTTCAGCTCACAGCTGGGATAGCCTACCGGGGTTGCTTTCTGCACCAGGCGGGACGTTGCCACTCCACTGTCAGACCCATCCTGCAATGTGCTCTGCCAGATTCGGGACCTACCTTGTCGGTGCTTCAGCCAGTTTCCCGTGAAGGTCTCACCCAGGCAGGCTACGGCTCCCTGCCGTGTTCACGTCCTGTGACCCCACTCACCATGCAGGCTGTTCCATTTGCTTCTCCCACGAGACGTGCCATCAGCTGGAGCGGGGTCGGCCTCCGGTGAACATTCACTGTTCAGTACTCACGCCCACTCTGGGCAGCACCTGCCTGCCACTATCAGGACCTGCCTCGAAAGAGCTTCGACTCGTCCCTCTTAGGGAAGGACCGGTCCTGGTTGCGGGTAGCTCTCTTTCGTTGGCGCGTCTCCTAAGCTTGCTTGCCATACAGGTGGTACCGACTGCCTCCCCCACGCGGCATCCTACTTTTTGAAACGACGCCTCTGTCCCAGCTCGATGGGTACTGATTCAGCCGCCATCCACATCTGTCCGCAGCCACTACGACATTCATGCCCATTTGCACTGACAGGCAGTGATAACAGCCCTGTGAAGTCAGCCGCCAGTCCCTCAGCAGTTGACTGTCAGTTCAGAAGCCAGCCTCTAATGCAACATTCTGCGCGCAGGACATGCGCCGGCCAGCTGCGCGCCTTGTCCCGCCCCGCAGAAAACGACCCAGTGCAGCCACCAGTCGGAAGAAGCCAGCTCAGCACAGTCATACGAGCCGGAAGAAGCCAGCCAAAGGCAAGCAGATCATGGGCGGGTCACGGAAAGCCCGTGCGGCCAGGGAGGAGCGCACGCCAGCTTTGGCATCCTCCTCCTCAACCAGCAGCTCCGAGGAGCTTCCGCTGCCCAATCCCCACGGCCTACTGGCTGGGCCTCCTACTGCGGCCACTTTTCCGCCCAGCAGTGCAGCTGCCTTTCTGGGACAGCAACGCTGCCGGGGCCACCGTCCCCTCGCCCAGGAGGGTCAAGGCCTCCTACCAGAGGACTTCCTCCTGTCCCTATCTTCCGAGGCTGATAATTCAGCACGACACGCTGAGGCAACCTGGCACGAGCTTAAGGAGCAAATCACGAGTGACAAAGCTGTCTTTTGTTTTCATAGCTGCATCCCATGCAGCGCAAAAATCTCTGGGGAAAAATCTTGCTGTATTTTCTGCGTGAGAGTTCCACGTTGACTTTATTTCGGAAATGCATGTCTTTTCCTTGTCGGAATATTTTGGTACATGCGACCTTTGATTAAGATGTGATTTTATGTTCGGTAGTTTTGGCCCAGGTGCACCACACATGCGCGCTAACATGAAACACATGAAGTTTGAGCTGTGCAAGTGGTGCATATCATTAATCTTTTCAGCATTTCAGCAGCCCGGCCACGCGATCTGTAGTAGATGGCTGAGGAGCTCCGATTGTCTGAACTGGCAAGCCAGCTTCTTTCTTTGCCTGACCAGCTAGAACGTTTGGAAAATCGTGTTAATTCCATTGCCGGTCAAGTTGATCAGATTCGCACTGTACAAGAACGCTTGTCCAATCGCCTGGGTGCTCTTCAGGAGCAACTCAGAATTGCTGAAGCACATTTTGAGCATCAGGTGATCGTGTCGGCGCGCCTCAGCCGCAGACTACAAGAAATCGAGCGTAATTCGCAGTAGTCTGCTTCGCCTTTTATCCAAGTCTTGGCTGCCTCACGCAACCTTCCAATAAGCGATCTTTGGCTGAAGATGTTCTTTTTGAACAAAGCTTGCTTGAGCTCCGCAATCAGCGTATTTGCCTGCCTTGGGAAAGGGGTATACACGGGCTGGTCTTTGGTTCTAGGACACCTAGGGAGTCAATTTTACCTCTGCCAGTGCTTTCGCATCCTTCTCCGTTGGACAGCAAACCTGACCTCAGCACTTTGCCGACCGCGACTCAGGCCTTTGCAGTGCAGCGAGCCAGGCTTGCGAAACTTGTTAAGAGTGATGACGCAATCAGGTTTGAAGCTTTGAGAAAGGTAAAAGTCATGACCTTATATGATCCTGATGCCTCAGTGTTGGGACGTTCTTTGTCCGCTGAAGCCGCACTGCTCTCAGATGACAAGGCCATGTTCAAATCTTTCGAGGATACGTTTGCGCCCAAAGCCACCTCCACTCTTGTAAAGAGAGCTGCATCCATGTGGAGGTTCTTCGAATTCTGTGTGGAAAATGGTTTTGGGTCTCCTCTTAAGGCTAGAGAGCGTGAAGTTTATGCTTACGTCCAGCACTTGAAAGAAGACGGAGCGCCAACATCTGGACAAGCCTTTCTTGAAAGTTGGACATTCTTTTCTGTCAACCTTGGCTTCAGAAGGAGGCCGGAAGAGTCTCCCATGTCTGGAAGGATCAAAGGCGCTGTGTCCATGTTGCTCGGACAAAAGCGTAAACTGATTCAAGCCGCACCTCTTACTGTGCAAATGATAAAGGCCCTTGAAAGGATTGTGCTCAAACCGCCTCTGGCCCACTGGAGGGTGATTGCAGGGCACATTCTGTTTTGTATGGGCAGCAGCGCCAGGTTCTCCGACACCATTCATCTTGAAAGTTTGGTGTGCCAACAAGAACAGGGCGTATCTTTACTTGAAGCGGCATCAACTTCGTATAAGACTGGAACAGGTGAGAAGAAATCTGTTCTTCTCCCATTGTTGTCTTTAGGCAGGTTTATCTTGGACGAAGCTTGGGGCCCTGTCTGGGTTCAGCGAATCCTCGCAATCCTGGTTGGATCGTCGCATGACCACAAGTGAGCTTACCTTGTTTCTGCGAGAGTTCCTTGTGGGTATTGGTGTTACGCTTGCCCCTGACGACAAAACTTCGAGCCATTCTTTGAAGTGCACGATGCTTTCTTGGTTGTCGAAGGTAGGTGGCATTTCCTTGGAAGACAGGCGCATCGCAGGCCATCACATGGACCCAGGCAGCCGTTCCGCCTTGACATATTCTAGAGATGAGCTCTGTCGCATGATGTTCACAGAAGAGAAAATCTTGCAACGAATCCGAAAAGGTCAGTTCAAGCCTGACGATTCGAGAATCATGAGGTTGGTTTCCCTGATACAGGAGAACGCCACTAGTTCACTGCAAGAATGGACCTTGGACGGTGATCCGTCGTTTCCTCAATCTGATGAGGGTGAGTCCGACTGTGAAGGTGCGACCCTAGAAGCAAGATCCAGAGGTGTCGTCCTCGAAGCCATGCCTGCTTCCCAGTTGTCTTCAGTGTACAGCAAAATGCACAAAGAACCGGACTGTGCATATAGAAGCGGCTGTAGGGAACAAATTTTTGTGCGGCAGAGCAGTTACCAAGAATTTTGTTGATGTGGACAATTCAGTGCCCCCATCTGACCTCTTGGTATGCAAAGGATGCAGTCAAGCGTACCAGACATCGCCATGATATCTCTGCGTGAGAAAAGTGGGTGTCTCTCCACATACGGAGGCACCAGGTCGGCGGCTAACCATTCTCCATCTGACGAGAGTCAGGCCGCCGGCTAATCAACCTCCTGAGTGTTGCCTATTTGCTGTAAGTGATGCTTGAAGAGTCATGATACTTGAAGAGTCATGTGCTTTATTTGAAAGTTACAGGTCAGCGAACCATCTCCTTTTGTTAGGAGACATGCCTGCCCCTGGCCAACCGACATATTGGATGACTTGTTATGTGATTGAAACCAGTGCAGAATCAGTTTCATGATCCTAGACTCCGGGGATCTGCGCGCATTCAACTTCTTTAGAATGTGTATATGTCCTTGACTGGTTTTAAGTCTGGCAGGAGAGAAAGCACGTCTTTGTGCAGTTTTGGCTGACAGGATGTCGTCTCTTGATAGTCGTGCTGCCTTCAAGGCGCGAGCCGAAGAACTTTCGTTGGAAGATGACAAATACAAGAAACTGGTGGCAGCGAAGCTGGACACCTTTGGTGCCTTGGCGTTCATAGGGCCGCTTCAAGCGGGGAACGCTGATGAAACGCCATTGGTGGAGGCGCTCAAGAGTGCCTTGAGTGGTGATCCGTCCCCAGTCGTATTGAGGGTCATGCGCCGACTATGGTTCGAAGCCACTACTCAAGCTCTTGCTGAGATGCGAGGCAAGGTAGAACGTACTGATGCTAGTGAGCCTGTCCGAATGCCGCTTGCAGAGCGCACTCAGAGGGTGGCTGCTCTACAAAAGCGCTTGGTGGGTGTTCACTGGTCTGTTGATGTTGAACCGTCACATCGCTTGCAAGATCAGATCGCGCAGATGGTGGCAGATCAGTCCTTGGTTTGGCTGCAGTGGGACAAGTTGACGAGTCGAAGCATGGAAATAACGGCTGAAAGGCTGACTCGATGGTGTCCTTTGACAATTCGGGTGTGCTCAAACTTGTGAAGAAGCATGCCGATCCTACATGCAGCAATGTTGGAGAGTACGCGGTCCGTTTGGCACTGCAGCGTCGGAGTATTGCTTTCGAGCTAGCACGCTTGTGCAGATGAGGAGTGGCGCGAAAGTCTTCTCCAAATCCATATGAGGTCACAGCCCCCTGGATTCCAGAGGGTCTCAATGGCCCAGTTGCGAGAGGCGGACAAGACGCTCTTCACGAAGATTTCCGAAGATACTCGAGGTGCTGCCTTTTGACTATGGAAGCTGAGTGTGATGGAGGCCACGAACATCTACCCTATGAAACTTATAGAGTAGGCCGGCATTGGAAGTTCTCCACTGCGCAGGAGGCCGAGTATCCTGCCGAGCTCTGCCAAGAATTTGCTGCTCTCCTGGCTCAATCCCTGCATCTTCCCCAATGCCTCGAACCTCCTTCGAATGGCAGGCCTCCTTTGCCTCAGCCTCGCAAGTCCGCCCGGCTGATCTCTGAGTTTGTAGGGTTCTCTGATACCCCGCCTTCCGACGGCCGACCTTTCAAAGAATTAACCTCCAATTTCTGGGGGGAATCCGGGAGGTATGGCCTTTTCAGGTTTCCGCTTGAGTTCCTGAATTGTGCAATGCAACTTCAACACCCTTTTGATGTCATGCACTTCGTCCCGGATCAAGTCAAGCGAAACATATTCAACATTCTTTCCAAAGGCCATGCAGCGTTTGCAGGCAAGAGGATCGGTTTGATTCGTAAGTTGATTGGATTGCGTAAAGAGCTGCAATATGAGGAAGCACGCTTTCATTCTCTCCTTCCAGATCATGTCAGACAGGTGGTCAAAAACAAGAACATCCTTCTGTGGCACCATCTTCTTCGAGAGACGGGCTTTGAAGACTTAGCAGTATTGGATTTGATGAAAGGTGTCGATTTGATAGGCACTCCTGACAAATCTCCGCTGTTCGGTCTGAAGGATGTTCCTGCTTCGTCCACTCCGGATCTGCTTCTTGAAGCTTCGCAATGGAGAAGGGAGCGTCTTAAAGCCAGAAATCCTCACGCAGACAACCCAGAGATCAACAAGAAACTCTGGGAACACACTCTCAGTGATGTGACAGACGGCTTTCTGGCTGGACCTTTCGAAGATGAAGCTTCGATTTGCGAGCATCTCAACGTTGATAAGTTTGTGGCATCTCGAAGGTTTCTGATCGAGCAAGGCACCTCGGACAAGAAGAAATTCCGAGCCAGAGACGACTACCGCCAAGGAGGAGTGAACGAGCCCTACAATGCCTTGGAGAAGCTCGCTCTGTTCGATGTAAACAGCATTACTGCCATGGCAACGTATGCAGCAAAAGTGGCTGACCCGGTGGGGCAAGTGGAAGTCAGACTTGGCTCTGGTGAGATCCTCAAAGCTCCTCTTCATGAAGACTTCAAGGGTGGGCCCTCTTGGAAAGGTCGCACTTTGGACCTCGCCAAAGCCTATCGCCAGGTTCCATTGGCAACGGCGTCGCTTCCATTTGGGGTGGTCATGGTGAACTGCCCAACAGATGGGAAAGTCAAATACTTTGCTGCCCAATCGTTACCTTTCGGTGCCACTTCGAGTGTCTTCTCTTTCAACAGGATCAGCAGGTCCTTGCTTCATTTGGGCTGGCACTTGTGTGGGTTAATCGCTGGTTGCTTTTATGACGACTTTCCTATGCTGGAACCAGGAGTCACGTCCGGCCTTGCTTCGAGCGGCTTCGAATTCCTTCTTGACAGTCTTGGATGGCAATTTTCTAGAGACAGTGACAAAGCGGCCCCATTCTCGGAGAGCTTTGACTTACTCGGCGTCCGCATGCATGTGGGCTCCTTGATGGGAGGCGTCATTTCTTTGGAGAACAAGCCATCGCGACTTGAGAAAATGAAGGACAGCTTTCTCAGATCAATGCAAGCCTCGCGTTTTCGCCGCTAGGGGCCCAGTAGATCCTGTGTTGATCTTCACAGATGCCGCTTATGAAGGAGGTGTTGGGTCATACGGAATCGTTGCCGTTGATACTGGCGCAGGAGAGAAGTATGTTGCAGGGGGCGATCTTCCGGATTGGCTGATCGAATTCTGGCATCGTGACTCTCCCGACCAGGTGATTGGCCAATGTGAGGCTTTCGCAGTGGTCTTGGCCAGGCTGGCGTTCGCCTCCATGGTAACGGGCCGACGCACCATCTTTTTCGTGGATAACGAAAGTTCTCGCGAGGTACTTGTCAAGGGGAGCAGTAGGTCGAGAACCCTCCTAATGTTAGGGGCACTCTTTTTCCAGCTGGAAACAGCTGACGGAGCAATCACCTGGCTGGAAAGGGTACCCTCGGCAAGCAACATTGCGGACGCCCCTAGCAGAGGCGAGGTTGAAAACACAGCCAGTTTGACTCAAGGAAAGGCAGTCTGCGTGTCTGACTTTGTCAGCAGACTGGGATCCCAATGCATGGGTGTTGACCAAATGCCTTGGTCGTTGCTTGCCTGAATGGTGTGCACTTCCGGCGACTTGGGATAACTTCCGAAGAGGGACATCACGGGTTATATGCACACTGGGCAATCAGCTGAAAGCGCCACGTGCGTGTTGATCAGCAAGCCAGCCCACGCACGCATCCGACCAAACTTTGATAGTCCCCCGCTGGATTCCAAAAAAGTGGGCCGGACCTGCAAACATGTCAGTTAATTCTTTTCTTTCTGCGCTTGACTTCGGTGCGGACATGTCATCTCTTCTTGATAGGTTTGGGATCCGGCCAGCAAGTCTCTTCAGACGGCAGAGACCCCAGGTATCACTCAGGCGGCCCTCCTCCAGGATGTGCAACAGATCATCACGTGGGTGACGGAGCACCCGGAGCTCATCTTGAACTTCAGATCGACTCGTCCCCTCACGGGGGAGACGCCAACGCGCAACAGCACAGTGTTTCTCCTGACCATAGGCCACCGAATAGAAGGCGACTTGTTACACAAATTAAAATTACCGAAGGCAATGAGTGGACAGGCGTCACTGATGCTCCTCAGGGTCCGACTGGCTGCAGAGCGCTTGCGGAGGCAACCACTGGCGCAACAGGTAGCCAGACAGGTCGGCCTGATGTAACGGCGACGCCTTCTTCCAGCCCAGGACCAGCCTCACTCCCTCCTTCATGGCAGTTACGTAAGACGGTTTTGCTCAATAATGGCAATCAATGCTATCTCAATAGTCTTGCGCTTGCCATTCTTCACACTTGTATACAGGACCATGTGTGGCAGGGGATGGCTGGCGATTTCGCCATCCTTGCTAGTCACCGCCCGCAAAGCCTGCGTAACTTGTATGCTTGGCAGATGGCCCTACGTGGCTGGCTTAGGCCAACCTTGCAACATGACGTGTGCGAGTTGTACTACTTCCTACGCACGCGGTTCAACATGCCAGGTTTTGCGGGCACATGGGAAGCCCGGGCCATCATTGGGCCATCATGGACAACAGCTGTCGCTGCCTCGAGCGGAATCCCCTCACCACCCCAATTTCCCTTGCCCTCCAACGACCTTCCTCCTTTCAGGAACTCATCAACGAGTGGCAT